AGGGCTAGTAGCACTTCAAAGGGGGATAGGATCAGTTGCGTTCCGAGCTGGGTCTGTGAGGTTGGGAGACCTTGACTCCGCAGTAAGAAATTGCGTTGGGATTATCGCATCAGTGGAATCATTACCGACTAGGGCGTGCCCACAGATTTTGACAGCTGCAACTTTTCTGACATAGCAAAAAGTGGGACTCCTCACCCAACAGTTAAAGAGTTGCCACGCAACTGAGAGATATGAATCCAAACTCTGTTTATAAGAATTTTGATATAGTACCGCACCTTTTCGAAGAGATAGATCTCAAACTGCGAAACCATTGACCTCAAGTGTCTTGGTCATCGGGCCGCTTTCATAATGGAGATCACAAAAACGCGCCGCGACCTCCGAGGCGTCTATCTTCAGGGGAAAAAAACCTGTTGAGGTCCAATGGGGAATCGTGGCTCTCGTAGAGCAATTGACGCCGAAAAAATCCGGATCAACGACGAGGCTAAGCTGTTTAAATTATGCACGGGCTACAAAGATGGGATATACATGTTCAGCGATAAACTGGGTATGGTATTACAGGTGGCGGATTCTCAATTGGGGCAAAGGATCTGTAAAGGACGTTCGGTGATCAGCATCGCCGCCCGAGGGACTCTGAGGAAGGAAAAAAACTCACTTCAAAGCTTGCATGTCGACCTGCACATTTACAAGCACGATCAGCGAACATACACTACGGGGATGACTTGAACTCAAACTCACAGGAGACTTGAACGCCATGAAGCAGTGCGAATCGTTGTGCGTGTCGACGGCCTCACAGGCGTCGCAGAAGTCGACGCCGCAGTACGCACAGCGGAACCACACGCCCTGGATGCTGGACATGCAGCGGTCGCAGACGGCGGCGGTGTGCGACAGCCCGGACAGATATGTGTGCGGGTCCACTCCGGGTGGGGGCCCTGCGGGGGACTTGTATCTGCGGGCAAACAACGATATTAGCGTGGGCAGCACCGGGGTAGGGAAACGACCGACAGGCGGGGGAGGAAAGCAAACGGCGATATCAGCGGCCGCTGGACTGGACGCGGTAGTTTGAAGAATATGTGGCCCGGGTCGTGCAGATTATAGGAGTGTGTTTCACAGTTTGCACACTGAGGACTTTGTTAAGCACGGAGACTTCGACAAAATCGGAGAAGCAAACTCACCAAGCTGAAGCCCTGCGGCTGGGACGGGCAGTTCGCGCACTGGTAACGAACCCCGACAATATTCTACAGGTTCAGGTAAGCACCACCATTGTAAGCCGCTGCCTATATAACTGACCTTTCCGCACCCATGACAAAAGGTATGGTGGTCTTCGTCCGGTGGAAGTCGCGTCCCCGATCCAATAACGGTCCGTGCATACGAGGAGACGACCGAGCTCGCCTTCGAGGGCTTCGGCGGCTGATGCCCGACGCTTGCAGCATCTCGGCCCTGCCACAAGTGGATTGCTCTCCGACTCGCTGTTTGCACCTAATTGGATGTCAGCATATGCACAAGACAGTCAACGATGCTGAAGCACTTCGTCTGTTTCCAGCGGATATGGAATCTGGACGGACGGTTAGAATCCGTCGAGATGGCAGACAAGGAGCTCAAACCTTGATCAGGATATGCGAAGAATTGTGGCCTCCGTCTGCAGAGTCAAGATTACCCGGCAGTCCCGCCGACTCGCAGTTGGCGCATATGTCGACTGCGTCGCAAATGGCGCAGTGGAAGCGCGCGCCGACGATGTCGAGCATACAGCTGCGAAAAAAAAGTCAGGCTCACGCATTGGCGCGAACAGAAAGCTACTCACTGCGCGCATCGGACGCCTGGATGAGTTAATGCTGGTAGATGAAGAATGTCAAAGAGACGATAAGCAAGGACATCATCCGACACACATTTCTCCCCCTCGGGTCCTATATCTGGAGGGACGCTCTCAAAGACCTCCGAGTCGTTAATCGGCTTGTCTGGTACGACAAGGAACGCGTGCGACGGGTGAAGATCGTGGACTTGGCTGAGTCTTCGTCAGTCCCACACACTCATGCAGACATTAACAAACAAACCTGTAGCAAGCCCTGCAGAGATTGAACTTCGCACACGACGTGCACTTATACCGATGGTGTGTCGTTTCCGCCGTACACGTCGAGCATCGGTTAACTTGGTTCTCGTGATGTTCTAGACGTAAAAAACGCATGAACTCTGGTCAAAGACAAACGAAAACGGATAAGATAAGAAGAATACGCACCGACGTCCTCCCACCCGAGCGGCCCCCACACCTTCTCGTGGTACGCATGCCGGGTCTGCCCCTTCTTCGGCGCAAGCCGCCGCCACTCCAGCGCACGCTGTGCATCCGCGGGCGACGACGGGCTCACGCTCGGCGACGCCGAACCCGGCGACAGCCCCGCCTCGATCGCATGCGTCACGCCTGCGTGCTCGATGCACCCGGAGCACAGCTCGTACCCAGGCTCGTCGCGCGCGTGCCCGGGCGGGACGACGAGTGTTGCCTGCGAGCTGTACGCGCTGGCAGAGGACCCGTGCAACCCGGGGAGGCGCGGGAGCGGCTTGGAGTGGCGCATGGAGCCGTTGAGTGACTCGGTGCTCCCTCCAACGCCCAGGAACGTGCGCGACGACGACGGGGAACTGTCGTGACGATGCGGCCAAGGGGGATATGCGTGCTCGTGGTGTCCGTTGAAGGAACCCGGGGGTTGAGGACTGGAAGGATAGTCGGGGGGAGTATGGCCGTATCCCGAATAGTGGTGGCCAATGTATCCCGAGTTCTCGTAATCCTGGTGAGTGTGGAAACTTTTCCCCTTTCCTTTGTTTGATTGACTGATTGGCCTTTTCTCTCCGCAGATGGAGCACACATAACGGATGGAGTCGAGGAGTACGCCGCATTCGGAGCAGTCGGTAAGTGTCTCGGGAGCTGGGGGATTGAGCGGGAGGAACTGAAGGAGTTCCCGCGGAATCGTGTTGGAGGTATACGGCTGATCATCTGGGGGATGGTCGTGGGGATGGTCATGGGAATGGTCGTGGACCTCAGACTGGAAAGGATCTGCGGGGGGTGGAGTTCGGTGGCTGGACTGCGAAGAGACTGCCTGTTGGGCAGCAAGCCAATTGAGCTGCCGGGAGGAAGGCCGTGGTTTCGGCTGAAGCTGAAACGCGCCGTCGTCGTAGTATCCCGAGTCACGGGAATGCGACGCGGAAGAGGAGGTGTACGAATAATAATACTTTCCTCGCGGGTCCTGCTCCAATGCTAACGCCCCTCCGAGCTCTTCCTCCTCCTCGGGTATGGACGTGACGCCAGAGGAAACCGACGGCTCTGGCATCGCCCCGAGCATAGAACGGATGGCCCGTGCGTTCTGGTCGCGCAGCCAGGCGGCGCCCCGATCGTCCTCGTGCAGATTGTCGTATTGAACGCTGGATGAGTCGTCCGGTATGGACTCTGCGAGCTTCAGTCGCTCAAAAACGGCGGCCGGGTCCGCCGAAGTTTCCGGAGCTCGTTTACTTTGTTCGTCAGAGAAGGGATCGCTGGCATTGGACTGGTAACGCAACGTAGTGCTCGGACCAGCGCTAGCCCCCGCCTGAGGATTTGAGGGCTGCGATAGCAAATCCCAAGACTTCGCTGATGCTTGTGAGCTCCCGTCGTGAACAGACTGTTCTGCCCGGGATATCGCATCTCTGGAGCTGACCGTGATCGAGTCATCGTCGAGGTCGACCGAGGGTGCACCAAAGGAAAAGGACTGCTGGCTGCCGTTCCGGTTCTTGTACTCCTCGAGACTCGCGAGCGACGAGGTATCGGATAGACTGGGCCCGTCATAGTCCACTGTGATATTCACTCGTAGGGTTATCTTGCGATTACCGAAACTGCGACCAGACAAGATAGAGGCTGCAGACGATAATGGAGGATCATCACCGCCGGCCTGGAAATATTGTATGGCCTCTGTCAGGTCCGAGTCCGTCGTTATATCGGTCACTTCGCCGTCATCGTCTTTGTACGCTATCGCATAGGAAGTGGCGTAGAGAGAGAAACATTGTTCGACCTAAAATAACGAATTCTGAGACTGGAGTAAAGACGGCGCTAAATGAGACGTACCTTGTGGCGGAGGAGATCGTAGCTGCAGTTACGAGCAGACGAGAATGTGATGCGTTTATTCCACCTGTCGAATGTGCACTTGACCACCAGCGGGCGGTCAGGACGTTTATCCATGAACCCAAGCTTAGCTGCGCAAGAGATTGCCCAAACCAAGTCAATGCATAAGCCGCCAGAGGCTGTGCGCGGTCACGACTTACGCGCACACGTGATTCAATGCTTAAACGTTCTTGACGCGTCCCAGCGGGTCCCTCGGTGAATTTAACTGCCTGCGACAAATCAGGGACAAACGGTGTTGATTCAAGTTTCAGCGAAAGAATCTTGTTATGTCCGGGGCAAATCCCGGCGTTTAAAGTGGACCAAAGACGCGAATGAGGAATTTTCCAGTAGCTTTAATTCCGTAGCATAAAGAAAGATGTATGCCGGCTTAAAACAGAGAAAGTTTAATATTCATATCGGCAAACGCAAAAGAGTTTCGACGCATTAGATGCTTGCTACGTGACCCAACGACGCCAAGGCACGGAGACAGTCGTCGAAAGGAAAAGAAGCAAATAAATTTGCAACCCGCGCCAAAAGAGGTGGAGTTGTCTTCTGTTTCGGACCTTCCTCCTTATTACCGGAGGAAAGGAAAGACAGCATATAACATGTAACAAAAGCATTTGAAGAAATACGAAGAAGGGACGAACTGGACTGGAGTGTTTTCCGTCTCCGAAGGCAAGCGGGAGAGTTTGGGGAGAGTCACAGTATCTGTGAAAAAATACTTAGCCTTCTGTAAGGTATGATGAAAAGGCAAAGAAAAATATCAACGTGAAACCCATTGACAGCCTCTGTACCGGGAGAGAAGCATAAACTGTGGTTTGGAATTCGTCGCGGCTGCTCGCTTCTTGGACACCAGACAACCAGTATTCGCATCCAGCTCCCCTGGTGCCACTAGAGGGAATCGAACCCTCGACCTTCCGCTTCAGCGATTAAACCTCTGCGGGCGTTCTAACCACCGAACTATGATAGTGGGCACAGAGGGCAACATGTTTTAGAGTGAACTTAAACGAACCTCAGGGCCGGTCGATCGAACCCATTCGAGTAAATTGTTGAGACCACAGCCAACGGCATTACATAAACTGAGTCTCTCTGTTTTACAAGTAATAAAATTATGGTCCGCAGATTCCTTTCCATCCCAACGCGGATTCAGGGAGGGAACATGCGTTTTATCGCCCGAGGTCCTGAAGAAAACGCTGGCACGCCTCGACTGTCGGATGTCTTTAACGCAGTCGGCAAAATATAGACACTGGCTTCTATGCGTTCGTTAGCGCAGTGGAGTATAGAACGAGTCGATTTGCTTCCTTATTAGAAATTCAATAGTATTGTACTCTCCCCGGAATGAAATAGTCTGTATGCAGGCCAAATAAAATTGGCAGCCGCTGAGTAGTTGTATTTCAATTCAAGCATTGATGAACCTGATCCTTTCGATGCCTCTAATTACTTATGTTCGTTGTGGAGCGCATCACGGGAACTTCGAAAATTGGACGAAGTTGAAATAAACTCAAAAAAAGGAGAGCAGTGAGTTGGACTACAAGACAAGGGACACATCGTGACGCCAGATGCATCTTCCTACACCTTGAGTTGGTACCATGATTCTTTGTCATCTCTGTTCATTTTTTGTACGAGCCAAAACTACATGTACAAGTACAATCTCTTCCCATTACAACCCCGCCCATTAAAAAAGAAATTACTGCATCGCCGCCTCCTACATTAAGATCATGAAGTACGCCCAAACTCCTCTTCTCTACTGGATGACACAGCTCCCTCCTCCAGGGCGGAAGTTCGGGTCCTGCAGCTTCGCCAAGCGCGTGTTAAACTTGGCGTTCCCGGCCTGGCCCTGTTTATACAGCCCAGCGGTGAGCTCGTTGCCTGTGGGGATGTTATTGCATATGATGTTCTGATGGCGCCGCTGGAAAGCGAGGTTGTTGGTCGCAGCAGCCTGTTGGATCACGGCGTATTGCTGGAAGTTGTCGGTTAACAGGAAGTCTAGGAGGAAAAGATTGATTCAGTGTGCGCGCGAAACCATGAAAAGACTTACCGGCAGGGCCATTCAGAGGGCTATAAAAAACAACGAGTCAGTGTGAGGAAACAAACATTGATGAAAGAGCGCACCCAGCAATCATGTCGTTCGTGAATAGTTCCGCTGCTTTGGCTGCAAAGGCGCCGGTAGTGACAACGACTGGGTTGGGATTGGCGTTGAATTGTTGGAACTGGGATGGAGTCAGTGAACGCTCAAGCACAGTTTACAGCGGACTACTCACAGCGAGCCAGTCAGCGTTCTCCCCGGGGAAAGTGAAAACTTGTTGTCTGATAAACGGCACGTCAGTTTCGAGCGTAGCACAGTGAATTACTCAGTTTCATACCCAGCTCCAGTCCATCTGTACTCTATGAAAAAAAAAAAGTCAGAATGATCGTAATTAAGGGAAGAACTTGACCAACTGACCAACAACGTCGGTCTGAGCGGGCCGCTGTCCTGGAATTCCAAAGCATGCAAACTGTGCGGCGGCCACGAGACTGTCGGTAAGGTAAAAGCCGCCAGGCACCTCTGATCCATTATGTTAGATTGGATTCGAACTCGGTACGAAACAAAAATCATTCATACCAGGACGGTGGTTGAAGTCTCCCGTGCCGCGGGTCCTAGAAAGATCGACGGCACCAGCGGCGAGTGCCGCTGCGTTTGCCGCAGTGGTTCCGTGGAAGAGTGTAATAGTACCGGTTCCAGCGGGATGGCTTACAGACGAGCCAAAGAGGCGTGCCTCGAGCGCGCGTTCACGTGCTTCGAATTCGCGCGCCTCAACTTGGGCGGGTGTGCATTTCGGAAGTTTCGAGGGTTTGGCGGATGCGGAGGCCTTCGCTGGAGCCGCGGGGGCAGCTTTGACGGGTGTTTTCGCGACCTTTCGGAAATTTTAACTTTCTTTTGCGAAACACGCGACTGGACATACCGGTGCTGCGACGGGTTTAACAGGTGCCTTGGTCTGAACAAAAAGGTGAGCGGTATAAACAATAATTTGGAATGCAACTGACAACTGGCTTCGCAACCTTCCGAAAGCATGAGCATATTGCCAAGACGAAATGCAAAAATGAACATACTGGCTTCACTGCGACGGGTTTCGCGGCGGCAACAGGGGCCTTTGCCTGACCCACAAATTCAGTCAGTTGAATAATGTTTAGAATTCAGCCTACAATTGGCTTCGCAACCTTTCCGAAAATATGAGCATTTTGTCTGTGAAGAAAAATATCCGTTAACATACCGGTTTGGCGGCTGTGACGGGTTTCTTGACAGCGACAGGGGCCTTTGCCTGACCGGCGACGTGAGCGAGATAAATGATGCTTTAGAATGTAACCCACAATTGGCTTCGCAACCTTTCCGAACGTATGAGAATATTGGCGGGGACGAGATATACGAGTTAACATACCGGTTTGGCGACTGCGACGGGCTTTTTGGCAACAACAGGGGCCTTTGCCTGACCGACAGTGTCAGCCGAATGCACCATGTTCTAGAAATTGACCCACAACTGGTTTCGCAACCTTTCCGAAACATGGGCTCACTGAACAGGACGAAATACATGGATGGACATACCGCAACGGGTTTCTTTGCAACTGGTGCCTTCACCTGACAAACAATGTCAGCCGAATATATGATGTTCCAGAGTTCAACCCACAACTGGCTTCGGAGCCTTTACGACAGCATGAACAGGTTGTTGGATCAAAATGCATGGCGGTTAACATACCGGCTTGGCCGTGACGGGCTTCTTGATTGGAGCAGCGGCTGGTTTAGCCTTCACAACCTTTGCGCTAATTGTGAGACATTGACGTGAGAAAATATGTGATTGCATACAGGCTTCACGGGGGGTTTCACTGCTGGTTTTTTCGCAGCAACCTTAGCTTTAGCTCGGACTTCGAGGGCCTGCAGATAGTTAGACCATGCTGGTCTATAATTCGCCATCACGCACCAATTCGTCTCCGATTTCGGCATTAGCAACTGGGGCCGCGAACGTATCAAGGGAGAGGACGAGAGCGAGGAGAATAGAGACGGGAATACGCATAGCGGGCGATCAAAGTAAAAGTAGTGGCGGGAGAATGAAAAACAGAAGGAACAGAAAAAAAGAAAAAAAGAAAGAAAGAAAGTGGCGCAGCCAGGCGAAGAGAAATGGGATTACTTGATGGGCGTGCGTCGCTTTATACTTCAGCATTACGGAGTTTTCTTGGCTAACGCGCCATCGCATCGGATCTCCAAACGCGGTGGCTCATGGTCGTCGCAACGGATGAACAATCTAACAGTTCGCCAAGGGATGAATCAGATATCTCCGCACAGCATGTCATATTTTCGTACAACGCCCAGGAACCGTCAGTTTGTGAGATGTTCTGCAGATTTGGTGGCTGGGACTGGAGTCCCTGAAGATTTAAGCTCAGGAGGGAAGGATTATGAAGGCACTTTGGAGAAGAACCCAAGCAACTTGAAGCAAGTCACTTTTGGAAAGACCGTGAACGCCGGGAGTAAAACATTATGATGTGTGGCTATGCAGAAATTATTGATGTCTTGGCACGTAAGAATGTGCCCGCAAAAGCCCGCAAGCCGGTTATCCAAGTGGGCCTCGCCCGTTGCATCATGTTTCACTGAGAGTTTGAGGAAATGGAAAATGGGAGTCCTGGAACAATGCCCGTCATTCCCAGCCTAGTTTCAGGTTCCCACACGGACTATAGCCCGGTAGAGAACGCAACGCAGCGTCCAGCCCGGCCACTCTCGGCCAAGTCGGATTGCCCAGGTGTAGACTTTAGAGTGAGCTCCGCGAGTAAATTGCGGCCATGATGTACACCCAGATACGCGCTGCTTGCACGGAGAAGCGATTCTAGACAATTCTAAATCTAATTTTAGTGAGACAGTTCTCCAAGAAAGTTAAGATCTAGACTAAATATTCAATTGAGGTGAACCGTGCCGCAATTGAATACACGGTCCGTGCATGTGTAATTATAATTGCGATCGTTCCAAGCGATATATATGCGATATCGATCGCTTGACGGAAGGGCCTTGCAGTATGTACGTCTTGGAATTTCTCGGCAATTCAAACGAAGGACGGAAGACTGCTCCCTGAGCATCAATAAAGTCGCCCCCACCGAATCCTTTCGGCTGAATTAGTGGTAACCACCGAGATAAATGTAACATATCTTGTGCAACGTCAACGTTGCCAAGCAAACCACTGCGCCACGCCGTTTCTTGAGTATTTGCCAGTCCGCAAAAGCCCGTAAACCAACCAAGCGAGCAGAAAGTTTGTCGGTAATTTTTGCGGATGGACAAAAGTACTTACCATGGGCGTTCTAAAAAACAAACCGTGGGAACAAACCGCCCGAAACGATGTTCGTCCTCCGGGATTTCGGTCGCTTCTTTCTTGTGAGTATAGAACACGACGAGATGTGGAACAGACCAGTTGAAACGTTGACCAACTGTAGGAAAACCATATTACTTTTAGAAGTGGATTTGGAACACGGTTATTCAGAGGGCTTGAAATTTTGAGGGGAAAATATTAGACTCAGGATGAGATCTGAAGGTGGATATGAGGGGAATCAAGCCAAGATGACGGGGGGAAACAAATACTCGGAGAAGAGAACACAGAATATTGAATCTCCATTGCGGCAAACAGGTTGTATTTTGGGAGAAACGGGAGGTGAACTCCTAATTTCGACGACTTTAGATGAAGGAGCCGTCGGATGGATAACTGAATATGATTCAGGAAAAAATATCTTCTAAGTCAAACTCAGAAGGGCACTGTACATTGACCATGCATGTGGCCGCGTGGAACTAACCGAAAGCTGTCGACGAGCGACGTTGTTTGTGAGATCAAATCTGGCTGTACATCATGTTCAGGTTTGTCCGGAGCTAAGCATTGGTTACTGCTAGTAGAAATACATTCCAAAATATTTGTTTTCAGTTGGACCCGCGATCATGACGCGCCGAATGTTTTATACCGTAAA